CGCGGGGCAGCCCTGGGACTCGGCGCCCAGGCGCCCGCCGCCCGGGTGGCAGGATGAGCATCGAGATCCCGGCGGGGCTGACGGAGCTGCTGCAGGGCTTCACCGTGGAGGTGCTGAGGCATCAGCCCGCGGACCTGCTGGAGTTCGCGCTGCAGCACTTCACGCGCCTGCAGGAGGAGAACGAGCGCAAAGGGGCTGCGCGCTTTGGCCATGAGGGCAGGACCTGGGGGGACGCGGGCGCCGCCGCCGGGGGTGGCACCCCCATCAAGGGAGTCAACTTCGCCGAGGAGCCCATGCACGCCGACTCCGAGAACGGAGAGGAGGAAGAGGCCGCGGACGCAGGGGCGTTCAACGGTGAGGCCCGGACCCCCACCTCCCGCGGTGCCTCCCGGACCCCCTCGCGGGGGTCGCCATCCCTTCCTCTGGGCGTCAGTCTGCGCCTTGCCTTCCCCACCTCTCCCTGTACTCTCTACCTTTCCTACCTTCTCATCACGCCCACCCCCTTAGCATCCATTTCTGTCTCCCATTCGCCCACCTTCCTACTCTCCTGCCGTGCCCTCCCCGCTTCCTCTCCCGGGAAGGTGGGGAAGCTGAAAGGTTAGGTTCTCCCCGCCTCTCTGCTCCCTCTAGTCCTGGGCACCGAGGCTGAGGTGGGCCGGTTTAGCGTCAACATATGATAGGATGATGAATTTCTGGTTGAAGATACTGCTCTTGACGGATACCATTGTCCATAAAGGAAACTAGTCCTCTTTGGCGTCTTTTTCTGCTTATAGTGTCCAAAGAGGAAGGGCAAGGAGTGTCAGTTTGATTGGCTTTATTGTTGTTAGGACAGTCAGTTCACTAAGAGGAGCATGAAATTGGACTCACTGGGGCAGAACAAGATTTATGGTAATAGCTTTGGCATCCCTGGAAACAAAGTAATCTATTATTTTCCAATTTACCAATACTGTGCTGTGCTATTTTTGGACACGTAACAAAGGATCCTACTGAGCCTGCTACCCATGGGGTCTTTGGAATGAGGAAACGGGGTAGTGGTTTGTTTTTTATTTAAAATGCATATTGAATGATTTGGTGTCCCCCACCCCCACCCCCCGCCAAAGTGTGTGTGTGAAAAACACTGTAGGAAGTTCTGAAAGCTTGTTGGTTGTCTTTAGAATGAAAAGCTAGTGAGTAATTCTAAGGACCTGCCAGACACTGAGGCTAAAAAGAATGAATGGGAAAGAAAAAAAAAAAATTCTCAAATAGCTGCTTATGGCAAGTCCCTCCCCTTATGCTTCCCCCTCTTTCCCCAGCGCACATATATACATATTTACATACATGCATTCACAGCCTCCTGAATTTACACAGCGTGACTGAATCCCATCTTTATGGCATCCACGGTGTGCAAATGTGCAAGTGTTTTCGCTTTGTGGTGTGAGGCAAACACGCAGGCAGCGTTGCACCAGCTTTTGTTTATTTACACTGCTTGTGGTCTGTGTGGCTGCAGTGCATTTCATATAATGAAAACATTTTAAGGCGTCGTTAAATGTTCTTGTATATGTTCCTAGGGAGGTGTTTCTTTCTTTGCAGAATTACACGTTGAAATGGGTTATAAGATTAATTTTAACTTGTCTAAAGCAGTTACATAAACCCTGGAAATTAGTGCTCTGAAAGGATAAAAGGGAAGACTGTTACTTTAACATTTTAAATTTTGGGCTCCTAGTATTTTCCAGGGTAGAGTAATCTTAGTTCTATTTATTTATTTATCATACAAGAATTTATCTAATATTCCTATTAGTAAAAACTAGAGAAGGATAAAAGGGCATGTGTTTTAAATAGGAGAAGCCAGTAGGGCATGACACAGAGAGGACAGAGACATCTAATACTTCTCTTAAGCTTTTGGGAGACAGACACACACAGAAAAGAGCCAATTTCCCAGTTTAAAGGAATCTAGGAACTAAGGGATTTGGTAATGAACCTAGGTATGTTTGAGGTACTATGTTGTTAATATAACTAGTAATATTTTGCATAATGCTTTTTGCTTTGAATTCAACAATTCCATTTTAACCCTTGCAGTACAGTGGATGGTATACAAAACAGATTTTATTTCCATTTTACAGAAAAGGAAATGAGCCGCTAACTCTTAAATAATAGGGATCATTTTATGTTTCTGTCTTCTCCAAGACACCTTTATAGTAAAAATCATTCAGTGTAAGTTTCTTCATTTATTTATTCCCCAGGCAACTCCCCAGGGATTTTTTAAACTTTTGAATGTGCCCAATATCATTTGGTCATGATCCAGTTCACACATGTGTACATATGTATAACTGAATCTTTGCTAACAGTATTTCCCTCTTCTAGTAGGTGCTGGTGGCATAGTGCCTAAGGCTAACCAGAAGGCTTCTGCTTCAAACCCATGCACTCCTCAGAAGGAAGGTTGGGCAATCTACTTCCATAGAGATCCTGCCTCAGAAACCCAAGGAGGGGTCACTCTGAATCGTGATCAACTCATAGCAATGAGTTTGGTTTTGGTTTAGTAGGTGCTGTGCTGATCTCTTCTGTTCTAATCAATTCCCTCTTATTAAAAAAAGAAGGAAAAGTCAATTGCTCTTACACTCATAGTTTAAAAAGAATTATAGATTACCAAGGGTGGACAAACTTTTTGTAAAGGGCCAGATAGTATTTTGAGCCATATGTGGTCTTGATTGCAGAGTCTTTGTTTCTTTTGACAACCCTTTTTAACACATACAAACTATTCTACACTCTTGGTTTGAGGTTGTATACAGTTGGCTGCAGACCAAGGCCATAGTTTGTCTACCTCTGGTAGGAGGAAAAATAATAGTGCCACTGGGTGGAAAATGATAAGATTGAGCCTAGAAATTAGAATCCTATCTTTTTAATGTCTATGTCTAGAAAAGTGCCAAAATACTATTATTTTGGACATTCTGTCATAGTTTTCCATCCCTTTGTAGCCTGTAATTGTTTTTTAAACTGTGAGTGTAAACACAATAGACTTTTCTTTTTTCAATAAGAGAGAATTGATTAGAAAATACCAGAAAGTACTGAACCAAATTGTTCTATGGTAAGGAACACCAACAGGAGGAAGTAAAGGCTTAATTCACTTGTCTTAAGAGTTTACTTGACATAGCACAAGGCCTATTTGGATCAATAATTCTTAGATTTTAGTATGCTTGTCAAGGAAGTTTGATTAAGAAATAAACTGGTACCATTCTCACAGAGCTTTTTCAATAAATTGGGATGGGACATAGGATCTATTTTTCAACAGACATCCCAGGTCGTTCTGATATGGGCAGTTCCCTGACTGTATTTTGGGAAACACTACATGGAAGAGCAACATGTAGCAATGATAATTATCTTCTTAACAATTAAAAAGAAATTTAAAAAAATTGACATTGACTGTATTTTGTAGTTTTTCTAGCTTTTTGAGAAAGCTAGACTTTCATAGCCAATATGTTCAAAACCAGGATTGGGACAGGTGGGGCTGGCTCCAATCCCTGTGTTCTTAACTGCTGGAGAAGAGCCCAGGGCCAGCATTGCCTGAGCATCCTTTATATGCCGAACTATTTGACAGCCTTAATGTGTTTTATCTTTAAAACTCTGATAATTTACTTGTCCAAGGTCACACACAGAACTAGTAAGGAATAGAGCTTGGTTTCTTTACCCACATATGTCTGACTGAAACCCAAGGAGCTCTTTCTAAACAAAATCACACTGTGGGCTGAGTCCCAGGCCAGGTTTTCCTGGTTATTTTTCCAGTGATAGTGATGGATTTATATTGATTGGTTTATACCCTCTTTTCTGAATCACTTTAGGACAAGTGATGGTGTTTATGAGCGGTTGATGTTAGAAGGCAAGTTTATGACCTTGAAACAGGTGCCCATTGACTGATAGAGAGCAAGCATATGACCTTGATCTCAAAATGCGATTTAATCAGATAAGCAAACCAGGCACCTGCAGTAAATTGGAAAAATGCTGTCTGGACCTAGGTTGAATGATTTTTGAGGGTCAAGTGACTGGCCATAGATGATGGCACTAGGCCATATAATTAGATGGGTGAAGGTGATCTTTACATTTTCCTACTCCCAAGGGCTGGTAACTTCCCCATCTATCTCCCATCCTCTTCTGATTTTATCACATCTTTTTTTTTTTTTTTGACATTCAGTTTACAATCAACTGTTTCTGGATAAAAAGGCAACTTTTAGGTATTAGAATTAGTAGGCTTACGGTGACCTTTTCTAAGGGGCCTCTTGAAGACCTGAAAGAGGCTATAATAGAAACCTGTTAGCATCTAACTCTGCCTCCCTTTTCCTTATCCTCCAAAAAGAAAATAAAATTTGACATGCCTCTTCTGCAAAGGCCATGCCCTTTGTTGTATTTGTTAGTTGCTGTTAAGTTGATTTTGACTCTAGATGACCCTGTATTGCAGATATGCTGAGAATCATGGCCCAGCCAAGTAGAACTGCTTCATGGTTTTCTTGGCTATTCATTCTTAATGGAAGCACGTCACCAGGGCTGTCTTCACAATACTGCTGGGTGGGTTCAACCCACCAACTTGTAGATTGGCAGTAGACCTAGAATTTATTAGAACGATTTACAGTAGGCCAAGGAGTTGGGTCCGTACCACTATGGAGTTAAGTCTATACATGCACCATCATGAAATCTTGTGTTACTCATTTTTTGGGGGGTGAAACTGCTGAAATTATAAAATGAAATTCCAAATTACCCTGATAAAATGGTCAGAAACTAATTACGTAAGTCACAGAGCAGGCAACCTGGGAGAAAGATAAACTGCTAATGTAAAATACAAAAAAACTAGATTTATATAGTGGTAGAAGAAAAGATCGAGAGTTCAAAGTGGATACACAAGCTAAACATACAGTCCTTAATCTTGTAAAGCAAGGATGTCAAAGGTCTACACATTAAAATTTTACCACGTAATAACTATGACTTAATCCTCTTAAGTTCTTCTTTATGACAAATTATCTACTTTGGATTTTTAAAACTTAAAAGCAATATGGAGAATTTAGAAGAGATCCTGATAAAAGTATACACTTTTAATGCAGAATAGCAATTTCATTGTATTTTGTGGAAATGAATTTAGTGCTTACAATTTTTAGAGATGAAGTAGGAAATGAGCTTACGTGGCAGTTCCATTTAGGATTTAATGTGAAGTTATGTTGCACAGTAATAAAACTCACATCCTTTCAATGTGTAATTTGCAGCTGAGAGCTCTAGGATTCTGTAATTAATAAGACTTATGGTCTTTGGCTATTAGAGATTTAAATGGTAGCTTGAAATCCTCTTGAAATGGATTGTAGCATTCCTGAGTGGCTGAAATATTGAAACCATTATTT